TCCCGAAAAAATATAAAAATTATATCTTCGATATAATATCTTATTTAAACTAGTTGTTATTTGTTAGTTGGTTTGAGTAATATCCTTGTGCAGAAAAATGTCAAGAAAAAATAGAACGGGCATGACAGTCTTTTTTAAAAGACCAAACGACAAAAAAAAGAAAAAAATAACACTGCCAAATAAAAAAATTAACAGGGAAACAAGGAAACGTGTTAATCGTTGATTTATCGATTTTTAAAACCTTGCGTTTTGAATTTGCCAAATACATAAATTGTCATCGCATAGAGTATATATTATTAATATTAAAACTAATAAAAATTTGCTTTTAATTTTTATTGTTTAATATCGTGAATTGATTTATAATAAATTGTTTTTTTTTGTAAAAAAAATTAAAATTGTTTGATTAATTTTTTGTGATTTTAATTGAAAAATCGACTTTTTCTATATTTTTAATTTTTTTTTGTTTTCATATAAACCAAGGTTGGTCAAATAATAAATCAGAAAATAGAAATATATTATTTTTTGTAAAAATCAACTGAAAGAATCATCTTTCAAAAAATCCATAAATAGCATTTTCAAGAAAATCATGTGTTCCAAAATATACCTTTTTGATGTTAGGCAAAAAATCTAAATTGAAAGAAATTATGTTCAAGATATTTACCATCATCAGAAAAATTAACAATCCTCATGAATTCTTTAAGGTATTTGAACCAAAAATTGTTTTTGAAAATAACAAATCACCCTATTTTTTAAGTAATCTAAATGTTTGTAACAGTAAATGTAAAAATGTATTTATTTGTTACCACTTTTGGATGCCACAAGACGTTAATGACATTAAAATGTATTACATTAACAATTGTATATTTTATGTTCGTAAAATAGGTTTTATTGGTAACAATCTCTCTTTCACGTATATACATATTTGGCGGGATGTGTTTTTTTCTGTTTGTCTTAGAAACTCTTTTAAAAGAAATAAAGATCTTTCTACTGAACAAATAGTAACCGTGATTATTTTGAGTTCCATGCTAATTTTTATTAAACGTGAAACTTCATCTTTTTATTTCATCTTTTTTAATAGATTTAATAACGTTTAATAATTCACTGGACACATTCCAATAAATTTATTTAATATTTCATCCTTTAATTCTCTATTAAAACTTTCATTGTTTAAATATTTCAATTTGTTGGTTTTCCAATGTAATTTTACTTAAAGGATAAGCGCAATCCGAGTTCATATTAAATTTAAGAAATTCCCAATTGGTTAGCTATTATTGATGATATCTCATTGTTAATATATACAACGAATGTTGGGAGATTTGTAAGGTTCAACTATTGTTTGTTTAATTCGATTTATTACTTCTTGATTGTTAAATTCCCAATAAACTATCTAATGTGCATATTCATTATAGTGTTTAAAATCATCAATACGTTGTTTATTTATATCCAATATGTTCAGCTTCGTTTCGATCATCAGATTTAAATTTGTAACTATTTTTGAATTTCTGCAAAATCATCATATGTATCAACATCAAGGTCTTCTTCCTTCAGAAAGTGCCAGTTGAATATTTCAAATCGTGTGGATTTTCGTAGTGGGTTTGCAAATTTAAATATAAAAGCTTGAAAAAGACGTGTCATGTATTTTTTGCAAATTCCTCGAAAAGTTTCAATGTCATCTTTGTTGTTTTTTCCGACAAATAACATTTTTTCAAAAAAGTCGTTTTTGTGTCAGTAATATTTGTTTTTATATTTACAAAATACTTGATTGTCTGGCAAATGCGTCGATAAGCGATTGGAAATGAAACATTTTTATCTTGTAGCCATCGACTCACAATTTCATTGGAGAAAATAAATACTCAAGAAAATAAAGCGCAACAAAAAATAACCCACTATCCAAAAAATATCATTAAAATAGTTTTTATCGACTTCTTTTAATTCGAGATGATAATTATGAGAGTTTTAAAATTTTGGATAATTATCAAAGTTTTTGCAAATATCGCCGATGTAACAAAAGTTGTAAAAAGAAAACTAATTGCACCATTATTTGGTATTTTTTGAATACAAATTCGTCTTATTATTTCGGTTGTATTCTACCCAAGCATTTCTAAATGCGCATTTGTCATATCATCCAAAAACTGTTTTGTGATACATTTTTTACGTTTTTTTAACAACCTTTTCGCACATTTTTGAAATCGATGGTCGAAACAATATTTTTTTAAAAAAATTTAATCCTGAGTTCGAGAGGTACCAATTTTTCAAAAAATACTATATATGCGTTACAAGTAGTCCCATATAACGAAATGCCTCTCAGTTGTTGAACATTCAGTTTTGCATAGTTGAATGAGCGCATTATTCATTCTAGTCACGATTTGGCGTCGCCTTCGCCATAAAAATTGCTGAATTGTTTTTTATTTTAGACGTTGTCGTGTTGTTAGATCACATACTAACGTACAAAGAATAATATGTCTCTCCACAACACGTCTGCGAGTCGGCTTTTAAATGAAATGGGGTTCAAAGTGAACCATAATTTTTGAGTCTTTTTTGGTTTTATTTGTGTATCAATTTCATTTTTCTCTCAATAGTTTTTGCACAAATGACCAATTCTATTTCAGTGCCAAAAATGA